ATTAATAGACATAGTGTGCTGAAAGAAGGTATTAGGCATAGTGGTTGAAACATGTGGCTTGGCATAGGTCTAGGTTGCACTCACCTGCCTGCAAGTCTGGTTTATTTCCGTGATCTGAAAAAAAACCCCAGACATACTAGTTTCATATTAGGTTCATTCAGCATCCTTTTAGGCCTTACATGACCATGCTTTTGGCTTTTGTTTACTTTTTTAGAATCTGTCTTCTGATGTGCTTTTGGAAGTGCTCATGGGGCTTTTTCCTCCTGTTAGAATCCCAATTCATCAATAGTCGCTGACCCTGCTTTTATTATCTTCAGGAGGAAAACCATTTTTTCACTGAGTCTTTTCCACGTTTTTTTTTTAAATAATCTTTTTCATAGCAATTACTTCAGCTACCTGTGGAAGATGGAGATTCCCATTCTTAGAACAAATCTTTCTTACGCCATTCTTGTTAAGTTCTCCTGCAGTCTCTACTCAATTTGATATTGGAGGTTCACTTTAGGTACTAGCCTTCATGTGATTTTTATTCCAAGTGCTTCATTAGTTGAAACTAATTATTCACTCTGGGTATTCTGTATTTTTGTATACTGACAAGACAAACTTTTTAGGAAGGCTGCTTATGTTTTCATATCTCCTACCAAACAGTCCTGTGGGTCTTTTAGTTGAGGACAGAAGATGTCTCTGGATGGCTGGCTGCCCAGCAAAGAGTCTTCACCTTTGCGGAATGGCTGTTGAACTTAAGTTCAAGCGATAGCTGTGGCAGTCTTGCAGAGTCTACCTGTAGCTGGGATCTGTAGGTCTGCCACAGCTTCATTCATTCCTCTGGGCACTGTGTTTTCATTTCCATCTCAAAGCTGCCTTTGAAAGAGTAGTTTTTAAGTCTTCTTTCTAGTGGGAACTCTTGAACCTTTTTCCAGTCTATTTACACCATACAGTGAGTTGCTCACAGTGTTTATCCATATAGATAAAAATTGAAGGTGAAAGTTTATTAGGTGGAAATTTATTTACCACAAATTCTTTTTCTTGAGATAAATTTTGCGTATATGGCTTCAGTAATCCACGATGTCTGTTCTCCCTTGACATCCTTGAGAAACTATGGCATTCTAAGTTGAGAGGAACTGAGAGGGAGAACCATACCCTGCCTATATTGTTCAACACAGGGGGTGGGACCTGGGGATTGTCCTGCAGAGAGGGCAGAGTACCAAATAGTCTTATTCTCAGTACTTGAGTATTAGAATGGTGAGAAATAAGTAATCTGTGTTTTCATTTTTTTATGACAATGCTTCTTGATGGGTTTTTTCCCTCTTTCTCAAACAAATGAAACAGGGTTTTTGTTGGGTTTTTTCCTCCCCCCCATTAAAAGCATAAAAATTTTGGGGGGGGGGGGGGATTAATTGCTTTTTGGTCAGTTCTAGGAGGTCACGTCTGTCCATTTCTGTTAATTCATTTTGTTAAGGCATTCTTTAGGTGAGTGTTGCATACGTGTGGTCATTTTAGCTGTGAAAAAGCTGTTGCTTTTTCAATATCAAGCTCTCTTGATTGCTGATGAAGTGATGTTAATCACTTAACTTCATTAAAAGGTGCCAGTAGAGTGGCTCGTGTTTTCACCTCTTGTAACTGCCCATCTGCAAAGTTGAAAACCTGTTGTCCTGATGATTTTGTTATTAAAAATAACAGGCACAGAGTTGCTAATTGGAATAATATGATTAGTGAAGTTTACTTTTCTGTATTACCTGATATGATTGTGGCATATAGATGTGGTAGCCTCTGAATTAAGAGCTGGGTCATGACAGCTGTTAAACTACAAACAGGATTCATTAGTTGGTTTTGGTTGAAGATGACAAAATAAAGCAAAAATTATTAGAGGTCTAAGAAGATATGGCCTAGAAGGAAGGACAAATAGTATTGTTTATTTACAAGAAAATAGGAATTAGGAAGACAAGATGAATTTTAAAATAAGCTTAATTTCAAGAAGAGTGGAGAACATGATTTTGGTGGCATGAAAAATGTAAATTAGTTTGGGGACTTTCATCATTACGATTATGAGCAGTATTAGTATTTTCCAAAACATCCTCTTCCTTTCCATGCCTTCTCCCTCAGGAAAGGCAGGGTTACAGATGTTCGTGTTGAAATTTGTTCATAATTTTCATTGAGGAAAAACATAGCAAAAATTTAAAGAAAAATTGTAATGTTTTAATAATAAAATCACAAAAATCTAATAATACTTCTCAATTGTATAGCACTTGAAACTTTTTATTTTACTTACAACTTGTTTAATTCTTCTTTGCTTTTGAAAGATTGAAAAACTCAATCTTATCCAACCTATTTTTACCTGCATCTGCTTCTCTGTATTTAGGCTCCCTAGAAATATAAAGCAGAATACAGCAAAGACGCACGTTATTAACATAGTTCTAGTCCACTTAATGCAGTGCTTGAGAGTGATGCCTGAACCATTTGAGGGTGTATGAAGTAAAGTATTTTTGATGCCAGTGATCCATGTATAAGAACTTATATATCCACCAAAACCTCTTCTTAAGTAGTCATTTAGTTGAGAACTCAAAAATTAAATAAATCATATGCAGTCAAGAAAGGAGTCTTGGATTTGAGGGAATTATCCAATCAGATACAGGGTAAATGACCAAATAATAAGAACTATTTGATAACCTTATAATAGCCCAAGTATGTTTTTATACTTCATTAGCAGATTGTTATGTACATATTTTAGAATTACAGTTTAGTCTTGTGTTTTAAATGTCTATGTGTAAAAATTACAATGATGAAAAGCAACCATCTTAAAAATGTTATCAGAGGGAAGCCACTGGGATCATATTTCTGTAATCAAGTGCAGACTGTGGTTTAGCACTGATTCTACCAGTAGCATACAAGCTATAGAGTACCTATTTGTTTAAAATCTTTTTTCATAAGTGATGTATTCATCCAGACAAACAAATATACTGTGATAACGAGTTTGGCCTTGGAAGGAGCTGTAAAAAGGCCATTAATAAGCATATGGAGTAAGGATGGCATGCAGGATGGAGCCTGAATAGAAACAGAGAAGAAAGAGCCTGTGCTATAGAAGACAATACCTGTAGGCGGTGAGCAGCCACTGAAAATGCTGCTGGTACGCAGGGAGTCTATGCTTTACAATACTGCAAGTGAAAGTATATGAAGTCCAATGAACTGAGAAGTGAGGATGTAGGAGGCTCTGGAAAACACCTGATGGTTTTGACTATACCAGTGGAAATCTTGAATTCCTGGAAACTTCTTATATTCTCCTAGGTGTGAAGAGCTGAACGTTTAATTTTATGTAAACATTTGAGGTGACTGTTCAAAATTGCCACACTTGCAACTATTTTGATAGTCTAGGGGCCAAGATCTTTGTTTAACAGGAAAAAAAAGATTGCATGTTCTGAAATGGTGTATTTGTGTTTCTTTAAAAAAAAAAAATAATCAAAAAGCATTAAACAAATAAGTGCCCACTCTCCCTAATTATCCCATTTGGTTGCTAATGAAAAATCTGCCATGTCTTTTTTTTTCCATACCATTTAAGAAATCTGTTCTTCCCGTTGACCTTTTCAGAAGGCAAGGTAATTCAAGGGATAATCTGAAGAGGGAATAAAGGATTTTAAATATCCTATTTTTCAAATTAAATGGCATCTACTTGTCTCACACTTGTGGAGACCTATTTTACAGAAGAAAATGAACCCTCCCACTACCACTGAATTAACTGAAGTTTGTTATTTCTGAGAACTGACGCATAAGCTAACTGTTCTGCACTCTAGAGAGAAACAACTGAGCTTGAAGACAGTGAAGTTACTGTAATTTAATAGTGATTTAAATGTCTCCAAGGGTTATGTGGGTTTCTCCATGTAAAGTTAGGGGTTAAAGCATTATTATGGCATTTTTCCTAATATTTCCAGTATATGTTGCCAGGTTTTCTAACTCGGAAGTCCTGTTGACTTCAGCTGAAGCTTTGTCTGCATAAAAAAATCATTATATACTTCAAAATTTACCTGAAGTTATTCATACTTAGGGTATTGGTATTGTTGCTTTCATGTCATATGAATTCATGAATTACACAGCGCATACTTGTGTAGGAAGGGATGGAAAGCATATTATACTTGTATTTGAAACCAACACGTTGCCTGAAAAAAGCTTCTGTTCCACAGGGTATATGTTATTCATATTGAATATTACAGAACTTGAGTTCTATCCCTTTACTTTCCATTTCTTCTGTCTCTTCAGTCTCCAAGTGATAGGAAATGTGTTTTTGCAAATGAGTTTGACCTGTACTTGTTTGAGGTCCTTCTGTGTGTGATGGATTTTCCAGTTGCATTCTCTCTTCACTCTATATTCTGTGTGTTGGGTTTCCTTTGCTTTGAATTGATATGAAGGATCAAGGGAGATATAGTGATACCAGGTCACCATGCAAAATAAGGCCATGGAGCACCAGAAGAAAATTCCAGGATACTCTGGGTAAAGCACAAGTTAATATCAAACTGACTCAAAATACACAATTTGTTTGATTCAATCAAACAAGGTAAACTGCCTTGGTAAGTCCAGGTTACAACTGTGGGACTTTTTAATTTGGAGAATAAGCATCAGTCTTTCAGTAGTTTTGTCTCCGTTCAGACTAAAAGCAGATTGTGAAATAGTAGTAGTCAGTTGTAGTTCCAACTTTAAGCCAGGTTATTCATCCTGATTCTTTGAGTAAAATTACTATTGAAATCACTGGCAAGTTTTTACAACTGATTTCCTGACCCCCCTTTTAAAGTTTTCTTCTTTGTTGTACTGTATAACCATCCACAGCTTACGTGCCCACCAAGTGCATTTTTATCACTGTGATAAAAATTATAAATCTGTTCCCACTTAAAGCTAATCATGTTATTACTGTAATTTTTTAATAAAGTTTTCAGCAATGTGAGGCAATTTGCCAGAAAGAAAAATAAAATTTTATCCTCTTTATGCTCACTGAATTTTGTGTTTTCTTTTTTAAATAGTGATTCCAGAGTTTATTAGTCAAGTAAATATTGCATTGGAGAGCTTAACCAAGAATGCAGTGCATCTGTTTGATGATAACCAGTTTGTGGACATTTCTAAGAAGGTGTATGATACAATTCATAACATCAGATGCTCAGTCATGACTATTCGGGTAAGTTTTTTATTTGTTCATTTAATATTAATTTCTAAAATAGTTCAGGACATCAGGGCATTTTCAGGAGAATTTAGAACTCTATGTGAGCAATGCCCATAAGCTTACATCCAGATTGAGCTGATCTGGGAAACTTGGATTACAATGAAACACACATGGTTATAACTCAAGAAGGCTAGAATTGCGTTGAGTACCAGATCAGAATGTTGCATTAAAATGTGTTCTATTCTTTAAAAATATTTATTTATGTTTGGTTGATAAAGATCTTCATTCACTTCATTAATGTTCAACTTGTGGCTACAAACCCAAATCTGCTTGTAGCTCTTTAACCTTAACCTTATTTAGTGGAATGTAGGAATGAGAGTATATCCAGGTGATCCTGATAATCCCTGGTTGAACCAGAAGACTTACCAGCCTGATTTCTGTCAATCTTACACAATCACAATCAATGTACTTATCCTAGTGTTTTTCCTGAAGTTCAAGAAAATGCTTTGGAACAGCTTATTTTTAAAATTTGAACCAGAATTTTGTCATATGGAGCATTTCCCTCAAATATCTTCAGTCCACAAATCCCATTTCAAATGATAGAACATCTGAGCTACAATATCTGTATGTTCAGCAATTTTGGTTTTAAATAAAATGAAACATTAATAAAAATATAGATACATTTTTTCAAAGCGAGGTTGTCTTCTGCATTGCCTTTTTAGTTGAGAAGAAAGTAAGAAACAGATTCCTCTTTTCTTTAAAATATAAAAATGTATTGTAGGCTAGCATGGCCAGCAGGTTGAGGGAGGTGCTTCTGCCCCTCTGCTCTGGTAAGGCTCCACATGGAGTACTGTGTCCAGCTCTGGAGTCCTCAGTACAGGCAAGATATGGACCTGTTGGAGTGAGTCCAGAGGAGGGCCACAAAGATCATCAGAGGGCTGGAGCACCTCTCCTATGAAGACAGGCTGAGAGAGCTGGGGTTGTTCAGCCTGGAGAAGAGAAGGCTCCAGGGAGACCTTATTGGGACCATTCATTACTTAAAGGGGACTTAAAAGAAAGATGGGGACAGACTTTTTAGCAGGCCCCATTGCAATAAGGGGTAATGGTTATAAACTAAAAGAGGGTAGATTCAGACTACGTAGAAGGAAGAAATTTTTTACAGCGAGGGTGGTGAAACACTGGCACAGGTTGCCCAGAGAGATGGTAGATGCCCCATCCCTGGAAACCTCAAGATCAGGTTGGACGGGGCTCTGAGCGACCTGACCTAGTTCAAGATGTCCCTGCTCATTGCAGGGGGGTTGGACTAGATGACCTTTAAAGGTCCCTTCCAACCCAAACTGTTTTCTATGATTCTAATATGGAAAATATTAGTAAGTCTTAACATATTGCAGTGTATAAGTTAAACAGTTTCAGTAGGAATTCAAATGTGCAAAATCTTTAAAATGTCTCATCCATATTGCAGTTGTCAGTTATGAAATTGTTTATATATTGAAGAGAGATCCTGAAACACTGTTGTATGGTTTGCTGTTCTTTCACTTACCTACAGTGGGTTTTGATTGGTTGCCAGCAGGTTAGTCTTAAATAATTCTGTCTTGAAGTGATTGTTCGTAAGTTTTTTTTTATCTGGTGGTTGTGCATGTAGCCAGGCACCAAAAAATCAGATAATGATATACTTTATCTGGAGGGCTCACTAAAGCCTGGCCTGCTTCTCTTGATCAGCACATAGCTACATGATGCAGGGTGCAACTAGTACCATCTAATTTCATTGCAACTGCCTGAAAAAGTTTTATTACTGTATTGCTAATTTTCAGTCCTGCAGCATTTTAAAAATATTTTTGTTTCTTAGCAGATTTAGGAGTTTCCTAATCTATTTGAATTATATTTGGCTACTACCACATGTATTCAAGGAATCTTCATGTGCCTGCTTGCCTTCTGTTTGTGCCTGTCACTGTTACTTTTGAGTAGGCTTCTGCTCTTACAGCATCTTCCAGATGTTCACTTTTCATGCCATCCTGCCTAGGTCAGATACCATTTACAGATCCCACAGCAGTAGGCACGTCTACAGCAAAGATGAAACCACCATCTCCATTTGCTGCTCCTTTAAACTGTGTACCTTTTGAGAGGGGTCCAAGCTGGAACCATTTCTGTTCAAAAAGGCCTTTTTGGTGATGTGTTCTCACAACCATACACTTTAAAGGATGTAACTTCTCTGCTAATCAGGTAATTACAAAAGTTTGTTTTCTGTACACCTGTGGAAAAAAGAGTTTTACAACAGATACTTTCAGGATCAAACAGGAAAGGCAAGTATCTACCAAGAAAATCACATTTATGTGATGAGTGCCACTGCTATTGCAGTTATGTTACATTAGTGGAGTTCTGAGTGCTGTCTTCGTCTCTATAAGGGAGCAGTCAATCTTTGGAAGTGTATCAAGAGCGGATTCAAAGTTTGCCTCCTTCTCACTTTAAATATCCTGGTAGGTGATCTCAACTACTTCATGCGGTTAGACTGGGAATGATGTTACCAGTACGCAGATATTACTTGATGGGTTCAGTTCCAATCCTGCTAGGACTGGAAGTAATTCTAGGGTGAAGCTCTGTGCCTCAGATACAAGGAAGAAAGCATCAAACCTATTCTACGAGTCCTACTCAGGGAAAGCCAAACGGTAGGATAGATAAGCGGTTTTGACATGACGGTCTTTGTCAGTGAAAATTTTCTGGACTCTGTCTCTCCTTATTTGCTAATGCAGAACTCTGTGCTTGTCCGAGGCTCAAGATGCCTTGCTTCACAGTGTTGTACTCCCTGGCTCTGTTCCTCTACTTTTTAGAAGATTCTTGCCCATAGCAGGAGGAGTTTATGTGAATTGGATTTATCTGGCAAAACAAACTGGATTGAGGGTGATCCTCTGCTAGGTCTTCCGATCAGTTCCTGGTTCAGTGAACGTAGGCTAAGAGTTTTGGTTAGGACATCTCATTTCTTTTGTAGATCAGTTAAACTTCATTCAATGCCTGCATTGGTCATCTCGCCTTCCTGTAGTGACTCAGGGACTCTTTGGTTTTTTAGGATTACAAAGTTGTTTCTATCTATTTCTCAGTGAGATCTGAGTCTTCTATAGGTCCAGTCTTCTTGGGCTTGAACCCCAGATGAACATGACTGACTATCCCTTTATGGAGTTTTTCATTTTTGGGAAATGCACCGAGGAGTGCAACAAAGCTTCAGTCAGTCTCCATGAAGACACAGACACTGCTGTGCAGGAAACTCTTGAGTGTATATTCTTACAGTCCTCTGTGATGTGTGTATGTATGTGGACAGTCACTCAAAGAAGAAAAGGATATTATATCCCCTGTACTTCTTTCTGAAACATGAGAGGAAAATACTTTCATCTGAAGAGACTGTACATATACATACTGCGTAGTAAGTGCAGTTTGTACGTGTACTATGGAAGTGCATAGTGCATCTGCAAAATTGCAAGTCATTGCACAACACCTAAATGGACAGTATTAATATGAAGGTTTCTATCAGTGCCGTCTTCCACTTCTGCTTCGCAAGTGGAATTTGACAAGGCAAGAAAAAACAAAGTATCAGGAATTACCTTGTGGGCTGTACCTAAAGCTGTGGGTAGCAAAGAGCAGATAATCCTCCTCCTCTGAATTGAAGAAGTTATGACCAATGGGATAAGAGCCTGCCTCCACCTGTACTGAACCTTCCATTATCCTAAACAATGTATGTGTTTGCCTTAGAAATCCATGTGGCTTGGAAGTGTATTCAACTGTATTTGAATGTATTCAACAGCCCAGCAGTTGCAGAGTCCTGACAAAAGCTCAGGAGATTAAAAAAAAAAAATAAAAAAATTAATTCATTAAAAAGGACATATGCAGCTTTCTATTTAATGAATACCATTATTCAGACACTGTCATGAGAGGCTTTTTTTGAGGTTTGGTGAAATGATAGTCAGCTACTCCACCATCCCTTAGAGATACTGACTGTGAGCATAGACTGCTGAGGAAACCCTGGCATTCATTTTTTGAGTAAGGATGTATTTGCATTCCTAATTAGATAGTGAAACCAGGACAGATACATTCCAGAAAATGCCAGTTTCATTTCAGCCTGCCTGTAAGAAGCTTTAGTAAATCTGATGGTTATTCAGATGCATGCTGTTACCACAGCAGCCAGCGTGAGGAAATAAAAGTGTTCTGTGGCCAACTTATAGGGGCTTACTGATACAGTGCCAAAGAACAATGCGTTACTGATTACAGGGGATTGCAGGACTGAATCAGGGAAAGAAATTGTTGATCAAAATATAATTGAGAAGTGTGAATGAACAAGGACGCTGATTCACAGGGGGCAATTTTTCAACATCAAAGTAAAAGCAGAAACTCTTCAGATCAGTTCCTCAGGAAGCATTTCAAGCATGTAATTACACAGAGAGAATGTTTTTAAAAATAGAGTTCCTAACTGTAAAATGCTGCCAAATAGTTTTGTTAATGCAAATTATCAGATATGGTTTTCAACGTCCAGGCTTAACCGTAGATACATAAAACATTCATTCCAGTCCTGCAGGTATGATGTGAATAACACTTGAGAGCAACTAAATAGTGGAAGGTGTGCTACACTGATGAGCTGTAATAGAAATGCCTCTGGAACTGCAGGATGCTTCCCTTACGATGCTTTTCATTGTTTCATTTGCAAGGATTAAATCATCCAGTAGTAGCTGTTGAGTTGAAATCATCACATATTTGATCCAGGGTATATAGCTGCATGTGCTTATTAGTGTCCACATTCCTCAGTCCTTTTTTGACTCCTGAAGCATCTGATTTTTGTTAAATTGTAGAGGCTTTGGGAGCTTGATTTTGCACAGGAACATTTGGGCTTTGTCTGGATAGTGTTTTATTCAGAATATTGCTGTTACGGAACTAGATTGGGGTAGACAATAGAAATAAAGACAAGAATTCTGCCATGTGAAATACATGGAAAAGTCAAAGGAAACAGGTTGACGGTTTTTGAGGCAGTACGTATT